TTGCCATTTTAAGCGCTTTTGCTATGTCATCAATAGACATCGGATTGGATTGAATGTAGGTAGAAGTTCGTAGTAAACATCTGATAAAAATGCTTTCCACATTACTGCACACAATAATTTAGTGAATAAACAATATTAAGATCAAAAAAATTTATTTGGAATATTTTGAATCCTATTCTTTCTTGATTCAAGTTTTATTTTGTTGTATTATACATTAAATGAGTACTTGAAATTTAAAACTTGATAAGACTATTTAACTGTTCGTTACTGTTATTGTTATCATTTTATATTGTTTGCTTAAAATTGTATTTTTATTACGCTTTATTATGTTGTTAACCGTTGTTGTTATGTTGTAATTTAGTAATGCGCCATCACAGCATCGATGTTATCTAATTAAAAATATAAAGGGAGAAGTTTACAAAACACTTGCAAATGTTTATTGGTATTTGAGCATGTTCAAAATTTATGAAAATTTTTAGAAAATCCCCCAAAATCCGGAAATCGCTGCCAATTCTGGTAAAAAAATCCAAAAATCCCCATAAAAATTTCAGGGATTTTAAAATCCCAAAATCTTGTACGCTAATTTACTCAGTGAAATGCCCTAAGTGCATTCTGCCAGGATTCCAATGAAGCTTCTCGAGATTTGAGAGGTCCTGTTGATGCCAAACCCTGAGAACAAATTACCACTAACATTTAGTGAGCACCAGAATGCCAGCATATTTGTGCTCAAAATGGTCTTAATTTTGCTCACTAGGTCCTAGTTGCGTAAGAGAAGCTAGGTCACTAGCGCCATGGATACTGTATGTTGGCTTTTGTTGGAGAGCAAATACGTTTCAATACTTTCTGCGGTCTAAACAGCTATAATTGGACAGTCCCAAAGATAAATTGTTTTAGCTTCCTGCTACACTAAGCCGTGAGATGGCAAGAATCAATTAACCATTTTTATATTGCCTGAGACAGATTGGTTACCGATAACTATCTATCACATGTCTTGATGGGGAGAGGATAGGCTTGAACGCATGCAAGTTTGATCTTCAAGATCATGTTCAATTCGGCCCAGACAATGTTTCAAAAAAAGATTCTGTAAAGATTTCACAAAATATTATCGAGTCTGCCAAAAAGAATTTTCTATGTACTAGAACTGTTAAATACAGATATAGAAAGCAAGAAAAATATACGAGATTTGCTGAAAAAAGCTGATCCCACCCAGTTTGGTGATGGAGGGTGGTTCTATGAAAGGGTGAGGGGAGGGGGATTCCAAACTTCCGTGATGTCACCTTGGCAAAAGTGAGCTAATGTAGACCTTGCTATGATCTTCTTTCATAAGGACTGAAACTTCTGTTGTTATTTACTAAACTGGTGGGTTGATTCATAGTAAAAGGCTTATCTCCAGCAAAATATGAAGGATCAGAAAATGCTCTCTTCAAAATCTTCGTCAAAACTGCTTTTATGACACCTCGCGACTGCTTTTTTCAAAATTCTGTCGTAATTGTTTATTATTCATTAGGGGCCGCAGTAGCTAGGATGTTTCTTTTGAAACAGTTTGCATCATCTTTAATCTATTCCATTTGATGTATGTAGACATTTACGAGAAAAGTTTTTGAAAAAATGCATTTTTGGTTTGTAGGGACCTCAAAATGTGATTCTGCAACATAAGGGTTCAGCAACAGCCTCGTAATCAGTCTATTCTTACATGAATCAACATGAGAGGCAATAAACTGCCATATACCAACTTTATTGTGTATGTTGATAACTCAAACATAAAAACAAGCAATTTAAAAGTTTTTGCTCTACCTGGGCCAGGCCAATTTAAAGAATTTGCTTTATCTGGGCCAGGCCAAATCAGCCCAAATAGGCAAAAATAACGTCAATGTGGGTCAAAATAGTAAAAACCTCTCATGACTTATGTTATCAACTTGCATCCGAATGTTATTTTTCATTAACAGTGTTAAACCAAAGGTTTTTCTTCGTCTTCTTGGTTGTCTGCCACGAGGCAGGTTCAGCGCAACACGCGCCAACCATCACGATCTTCAGCTCTACGCTTGATTTCTCCATATGTTTCATTTCTGCCATGTTCTTTCTTACGCCAATGATCGAACAATGTCATTCATCTTCTCCTTCCTCTGCTTCTTTTGCCGTTTATCTTCCCTTCGATGAAATCCCTTATATCAGTCCCTGGTGTCTCATAATGTGACCCATCCACTTCTTCTGCTGGTTTTATATGGTTGATGTTAATGTTCTGCTCTCTCCAATCCTTTGCAATACTTCCTCATTTTTCACTCTTTCTGTCCAACTGATCTTTAGCATTCTCCTCAAAAACCACATCTCTGCACTTTCCAACCTCCTGATATCCTCCTTTTTCAGTGTCCATGACTCTGACCCGTACAATAACACACTCCACAAGTCTTAACCATTCTCTTTTTCAACCATGCATTGAGCTTCTTCGTTAACAGTTCTCTTCTCGAATTAAAGGCAACCTTTGCTAGAGCAATCCGTGATCTTATCTCTGATCTGCTATAGCCGTTGCTTGTCAAAATGCTTCCAAGGTAACTGAAGCTTTCAACCTGATCCAGATCTTTACCGTTTAGCTTGATTGTTACATCATCTTTGCCGCTTTTGTTAATCCTCGTCACTTTCGTTTTCTTTATGTTATTTTCATTCCAAACTCTTCAACAACTGCATTCAGATTGTTCATTATTTCCTGTAACCCCTTCTCTGAATCTGCTACCATGGCCTGGTCATCCGCAAATATCACTGCATTTACCAGCTGACCGCCGACCTTCACTCTCTCTTCACAATTATCTAATGAGGTTTTTATCATTGCTTCCGCAAATATATTGAAAAGAGAGGGTGACATCAGGCAACCTTGATGCACCCCTTCTACCAATCACTGCAGGTTCGGATTCTCCATCTTTTGTCCTTATTGTTGCTAATTGTTGCATGTATAATTCTTCATTGATCAGTTTTCTAATGCTCTCCAATCCGCACCAACACTTTTGAGAATTTTCATGAGTTTTTACCAGTTGACCGGATCGAAAGCTTTTTAAAAGTCTACGAACAAAACATTTAACTCCTGATCAATTTCAAATCACTCCAGATCTGACCAAAACTTTTCTAAATTCAAACTATTTGAACATGCTTGATGTGTTTTTCTGCTACGAAATAATCGTAGCTGAATAGATCCATCCATAGAAACGGCAGTCACAATTAAGTAAAAATTTTCTACAAAACAAGAAAAATAAATTTCAATACTATGTGATATTTAGGTATTACAGAAAGAAAAACTAAGTAGTTGATCGAAACTTATAGAAAATGTTTTCTTTAATTTTTCGAAACCTTTAGAAATGACATTTGAGGCTTTTCAAAATGAATTCTTCTGTCTTCCTAAGTTTTAACTCTACTCAACATGGATCGCATTTGCAATACTTTGCAAGCGGCACTTGTTGTGCATCAACTTCTTTAATTATTGTTTTGTTGCAAACATCCAATCCCAGTTTGAGCCAATTTTGCATCTAACCCGTTGCTCACCCTCAAAACAATTTTCGGCTGTCACTGTTTTAAAAAATCCAACATGCCAACTTATCATGCTAACAAATCATTTGCAAAAGCTTAACCATGCTTCCCCTGACCAAATAGCACGTTCCACCAGGGGCTACATAATGATTTCATTCTTGCTTTCATCATATTGTGGTAAAAATCCTTTGGAAAGATATGTTGGCATGTTTTTAAAACAATTATAAAATATAGTTAAATAAAATAAAGTTTTTAAAACAATGCATACACAGTTGTTAAAGTATTTCTTTTCGGGGCGATAAATAGCCTTGATTATACAAGGTTGAAGTTTGTTTTAGTTTACAGGCCTCCCAGCATCTGTTTGTGATTTTTTTAGCAATTTAGGACTTTTCAAAGCCAAATTTTAGGATTTTCTAGGACTCAGCAATAAATATCCAGGACTATTTAGGATTTCTTATTTAACCAAAAAACTTTTTGGTACGTTAAAATTTGAAGACATCACGAAATAGCTGGAAACATTGCATAGCAGAAACTCTGAAAAGCGTGGAACGAAAAGAACACAAATATACAATGTTTCAGCTATAAAGTTCCTAGGGGGGGCTGTACCCACCAACCTTTTATCCATCATCACATAAAGAACTTTTGTGGGGAAAAAGAAGAATTTTGTTCGCAACAATTTTGCAAAAACTGTTAAGTATTAACATGTCTGTGGCAGTTCAACTTTTAAAGTATGGCATTGAGGATTGAATTTTGAAATATAGAAACGCATAAAAGCATTCAGCCAAGAACTCACATATCAAATATTTTGACGATTTTGATGCAAAGAGAGTAGCAAAGCTTGCAGAACAGACACGGCTGAAGGAAACCACGAAGGAAGCTGGAGACGGAGGAAAGAAAAGAAATCTTGAAAAGATAAAAAGAGAAATAAAATTCAAATATTCTAGAAACAGGTAGACATTAAGCGGCTTCACGGAAAGGTTTGAAAAGGAAGAGCGACCTTGATTAGAGAATAGGACAATTAGAGGATGAAAGAAGGAAATTGAAGACCGTAGGATGTTTTGTATCATTGATCTCGATAAGATTTTGAAAAATGACATCTTTCTTGTCTATTTCCACAGTACTGTGGAAATAGCCAATGATAACTCAATGATAAAAAATTTAAAACTGCCAATGGTAACTCCAATTATTGATAAATTTTGGAAAATTTAGGATTCTTTGTCAAATTTTAAGTATATTTGTAGGTTTTCGACAAAAATGGCTAAATTTTAGGAATTAAGGACGGGTTGGGAGGCCGGAATTTAAAACAAACGACTTGCGTAATAACAAAGCAAGTTTTAAACTTTCTTACAAATTAACTGAAGTTCTAATTTGAAATTAATTTAAGGACTGCCCTTCTGTTGACTTCTGCTGAACGAATATTCTACTCTCAACACAGCATACACCAAACTATGGTTGTTTGTTGCAGGCGAAAGAGTTGAATTGAATACGTTTCTACACCTGCATAACAAAAACATGTTTCGGACATACTAACGTAGCTAACAACGTCCTATAGAGTTTGAAACAAAACACTGTTTACACTGTTTGACAGTTGATCTTCGTTCACCCTCGCAAGAAAGGCAAGTTTCTATATTGTCAATTTCATCAGCTCTTCGTGTTTTTCATCAGAGAATACTCTATTACTATTCATCATCGCGATCTTTAAATTGATAGGAAACTCATCATTTACAAAACGTTCCAACTAATCCACACTGACTTTAAGTTTACGGCCTAAGCGTAGCGCACAGGAATCTTTTGTCCGAATTGCATAGAAGGGCAGGTCCGCTAAAACCTTTAACGGGATTACATTCATAGCAGCATATTAATTCGAGGAAGCCCGATTAAACACGTTTTCTGTTAGGAATGCTCTACACTGAACGGCAAAGCTGTCTTTTTCTCCCAAAAAATGTTTTCAGGGAGAATTTTGATTTGCACAGTCAGGTAAGGGATTGGTTTCAAGTGTTCATAAAAGCAATCTGGTTTGGTATGGCTACAACGGATTGTCCCCATGAAGTGACCATATGTTATTTGTCCATTGTAATTATCACCAGCCATGCTAGGAAACTCAGCTAAACTTGATATTTTTGAACCCTCAAACATCAGTTGGACCAGTGTGAGCGACATTCTTTTGGACATAGGGATGAAAACTGGGAAAATCCTTGCTTAATATTCTATTCTAATCTAATCTAATCGTTTTAAGGAATATTTGTGAGGTCAGCTAATATCTGGATTCTTATGATAAGTTGTTCTCAACTTTACCAGCCTTGCATTGGTGCTGAATTTGTAACTATATCTCTAGAAATGAACTGACATATTTGTTACCCAACAAAGTGATTCTAAATTTTATTCAGGTTTCTATAGTCATACAATCTCTTAAGAGAGGTTAGTAGTGGTAAGTAGTGGTAAGTCCCCATAGTGGTAAGTGGGTTAGTCTTAATAATAGAAAGACGATAATCAGGGGCGGCTGGGATTAGAAAAGTATTGGTATTAGCCTCAGAAATTAAGACATAAGAAGGTCCACCCGCAAGGTCCTGAAACTATTTAACAGGGGTGGAGCTTATATGTTTTTATTTAAGAAGGTGGGCAAAATGACCTTTTCGAAATGATGGTTTAAAATAGCTTTTGGCAATACCATATCTTACAAAATTATTTGAAGGCACTGGCCCCCGTTGTCTCCCCCAGACACTGATGACCCTGTGGTAATGTAGTTCATCCTACTAGTTTTGGGTGAAGGATCGGTCCTATGAAATACAAATGAATTATGGCTGGGGCAGATTACTCGAGCGAAATCATGTTTTGATACAGCGGTTTGCTGCCCAGTTATGGAGCCCCAAGGTATAGCCCATTAATTCTAATACCATGAGGCTTTTGGCCCGTGAATGAGATTCTAATATGATAAAGCGAGCGATTTACTTTAGAGTAATGCAGCACAAAAATGTAAGATGTATCATTTGATTTGAGAAACCGGGAGAAATAATGTGAGAATGTTGCCTGTGACTCTACGGTCATATAGAATCAATTTAGCTTGAACAAATTATTTCATGACTGTTGCTCTTTATATTCAGTGTCTAAATTTTGTCAATCAAATTACCCATCCAAAGGCATTGCTAGCAAAAGTACAGCTACATTTTGTAAATTCATAAAGTTAATTTCCAGAAATATTTTTTCTATAAGCTGAGGCCTTAGAATAGAGCTGGGTTCTGTCCACCATCCCTTCCACTGACAGTGGCCCTCATAGTATTAGAAATGAAAAAATAATACCTTACTGCTGTTCACCCATTCTTCTATCATGGCTCAACAAGAGAAATTTACGTCATGCAGACCACAATGTTGATGTAATCTTTCGTTTAACCTCAAGACTATCCTACTGCATTGATACCTGGATGATATCAAAACTCAAAACATTCAAAACATTTCATTCACAGCAATAATTAACTACTACATTTCTATTTAATACTTGAATCACAAATAACAATTATTTTTTACAAAAAAGAAAAACTACAAACAGTAGATAGTTCAAAGTTTGGTATGTTTGCTGTCGGACATATGAAAAGAACTCACAAGGAGCTATCTAGGTCATATGCCCGATTGGACGTTTATAGGTGTAGGTGATCGATTTCAAAAGAAGAATGTGAATGAAAAATAAAAAGGAGGAATATCAAGATAATATAGGGTTAGTATAATGAGATATGTTAATTGGTTATACTAAAAACACAATAGTGAGATGCATGGTGGTAATATATGTTTAATGATAATGTTCATAATTGGGTTCAAATAAGTATATCAATTCGACTTTAAGAAATAACTTTTCAGGTTTTTGATGAAGGATGACTTATTCGGTAACTTTTTAATTTGCAATGGCAGGGAATTCCAAATTTTGACTCCTTCATATACAATTGACTTTTGTTTGTAATTTGTCAAGACCAAAGGGAAAGAGAAGTTGTCATTTGAAGACTGTCTTGTTTCATGCTGATGACGTATATTTGTTTTAATGAACAGGTTGTTGAATAGGTCATTACCGTTTTCATGATAAATATCAAACATGAATTTAGCAACTTCAAGTTTATACATGTTATCAAAGTTGAGAAGATATGATTTATATCAAGCTTGACAATATTCTAAAGCGATTTTGATTTTACCAAAAACATCATTTTGCTTAGAGACCCCTATTCCCATGTAATTTTCTGCAGAACAAACACAATTCTTAATTTAATGACAGTTTTGAACCAAAATTTTGTTCAATTATGTCATAGCAGTTCCAACAAGATTTGCACAGATTTTGCAAACAGCTTTTGATCTGTTCATTATGAGTGCCCTGGCTTATTTGCTTGAGCTATTTCTTAGGAAATGCCCGTTAATGGATGCAAAAAGAAATTTAAAGTCTGAAATTATTTATTAGAGCACCTTCAGACAGCATATTTATTCATTTTTAGATGGCAATTCATTTATTGATTTCCTTTACCTGGAGCCATTGCTGGCACAAGTTAAATTATGCCAGCACCAGGCTCCTGGTTTTTAAGTCATGAACCTTTGAACCCAGACATTATCAGTATATATTCTTACACAAATTAGCTTATACAGTTGTGGCTGTGAAAAAGGAAAGAACTAAGCCCTCTCTTAAGAGATTATATGACTATAGAAACCTAAATAAAATTTAGAATCACTTTGTTGGGTAACAAATATGTCAGTTCATTTCTAGAGATATAGTAACAAATACAGCACCAATGCAAGGCTGGTAAAGTTGAGAACAAATTATCATAAGAATCCAGATATCAGCTGACCTCACAAATATTCCTTAAAACAGGCATCCAAACTCAGAAATTTTTTTTAACCTTATTCACAACAAATGTTCAAATCAGCAAGTTTTCATTGTATTGAATTGAATTGTATTGAAGACAGAAACTACACAGAAAAGATGTGTTTTCAAAAGATTCTGCTCTGAAAAATGCTTTCTTATTTTTGTGTTTTTGTTTACAGATTAAAAGTTTTTTATTGTGTAACTGATAAATTTAAATGCTTAAAACCGATTATTGTCATTCGTAAACAATAAACTACTTTCTGTTTGAAACAAAACACTTTTTTTACTAATTATTAAAGGACATATTGATTGTACCATATGACACAACAAGAGTGCTGACAGACATATGACATGTGTTTCATTAAAACATTTCAAAAGTCAACATGTAGGTAGATGTTCCCAAATTTCCTTCATATATTTCACATTATTTCGTATATCACAAACAAAAGGAATCAATTTGTTGATAACTAAAGCAAAATAACATTTTAGTAGGACTAAATTGCTCTTTGGCAAGATTTGCTTGGCACATACTCCAAACACCTCATATCAGGGAGGTGTTAGAGAATCAGAAAAAATTTTGAGTAAAGAATCTAAAAGTATAAAGGACTTTTTAAAGAACAGAGCAGATCAAAGCTTCATTGAAATCATCATTAAGCAATAAACAGGAACAGTGTTAAATGATGCAGAGATTCCGTATTTATTCAGTTGTGAGACACAATAAAAAAATGTAAGAAATTGCGGTGGCGCTTTGCTGCTCTCGAGACATGTCCTGGGGCTTAAGGCTGGGGTCAAACCCGTTTGTATAGCTTTATATTTTTTATGATTTTATGAGTTTGAACTCTCAGTATTGCTCGAATGTATGCAAGAATACGAAGTACGTAAAACCGAAGGAACTCTCACGAAATTGCAGAAGATCACTCTTGAACGTTGAAACTCTCTATTCTACCAAAGACAAAGACAAAGTGAACAGACAGACAAGTAACATTTATCGTATTACATTTTTGTCATATATATACATATTTATATACTCATTTGTTCCTTATTCGATATTTATATACAGTCCTCTTATAACAATTTTTCGTACCTAATCTAACTCTGCTACCCTAGGTGGAAATACCAAAAGAATTTCCCCACCTAGGCCTGATATTGAACCTAAGCAGGGATAATATTCTAAATGGTCTTAACCTTCGCCGGATTTATGTTATTGATTTATCTATTTGAGTTTAAATGTTTATGGGGATGTATATAGGTTCGTAGCCCACAATGTCTCTTGATAGCGGCAGCGCCAACGCAATTTCTTACAAAAAATGCAAGCCACCATTGATTATAAGCTGCACCCACAAATCTATGCAGAGCTATTTGGTTTGAAAGGCTGCAGCCCCCTCAGCCACTGTGTCTCATGTGCCTATTGCTTGCTTGATATTTAACCTTGTCAACAGGAACGGATCTAGTAGCGGCGGGGTAGGGGGGTAGGGGGTGTGACACCCCCAATATTTCCGTGTCCTTCGGTAAATTTTGTCTCATTCGGTAAAATTCATTTGTTGATAGTCAGCAGTAACAAAGTAACGCCAAGACTTTACTTTATTTATTTTCTTATCAGTATTTATCTTCTTATCAGTAGCGTAGTGGTGTAGGGGGAGAAATTTATCTGAAATGTATTTTAAGCTAATCTCAAGGGCATCGTCGCAAAATTTTTCGCTTGCTTCGCTCGCAGAAGACCCTCCTCTATATGTCTGTTCAAGAACTTCCCTGGTTTTTTGGTTTGCAAACGTTTTTTGGTTCACGTTCTTGAGACATTCCTGATTAAATAGAATCCAAAATTCTACAGCAGTCCAATCTTTAAAGAAAGCTGGAATCTGAAATGCTTGTCGTGGGTTTTGCTCCAAGGAGAATGGACTCGGTTTAAAACTTTTGAATACTATTTATTATTTTTAGATATTTGATTACAACTTTGGAAAACCACTTTTTACAAGTAGTGCTTCCTCGCCTTACAGAATTCAGGATATAAAGGTTAGAGGAATTGTGAAGGAACTTGACAATTGTAGAATAGGGTCAGCCACAAAACGCTACATATGACGTTGTATAAAGGAAAATTGCAACGTAAAAATACCATAGCTTTTCCTAACGCATATAAAATGAGTGTTTTCCCAAATTCTTAGGGGTCCTGTCAGGAAAAATTTTCTCCTCTTTGCCCAACCCATCTTCCAACCCTGGCTAGGTCACTGTTTCTTATCGTCTTTACTGTAAAGTTTAAAGCCCAATTTTAAAAACGGACGTTTCCATCATTTTCTAGTGACCTTAAGAGTGTGGCATCAAAATTGGTGTCTAGCACCCCTACACCCCCTAATCATTGTTGCTTAAATCTGCCCCTGCTTCTCAAGCACCAACCGCTGATAACGCCAACCGCTGAAAAATTTCTAAGGAAAAAGAGTCATGCTTATAGAAGTTTTTATAAGAATGGGCAATTATAAGAATGGGCAATTATAAGAATGGGCAATTATAAGAATGGGCAATTATAAGAATGGGCAATTATAAGAATGGGCAATTACAAGAATGGGCAACCAGACGACAAGGTCGAGGGGGTAGAAAATATGATATCAGGAAGGTTCAAGAATGATCGAGGGTGCAAAACAGAAGCACCTTCTTAAGCAACAGCGTGAGCTAAGGAACCCCTAACAAAACGGATTGGTCGTTGATCAGTACCGTTCTTTACAAGACCGAAATTCAAAAAATACCACCAGTTTTAGAGAATGAGCAAATTGTGACCGATTTTTCTGAAAGCACCGTTTTTTCATACTTCAGTGTACGACGATTGACACAAGCAGTGTAATTCCAGAACATAACCCCTTTACTCTGTTAGACAGGGTTTTTATGCCAAACATTTGTCATAACATTTTATTTATTTTTATTTCAACAGGTAACGACATGTTCAATAACAGTATCAGCAGCAACAACAACAACAACAAAACAAGCAGTGAACTTGTAAGAGTGACGGCAGCCTCTGCCATCGGTATTACCTCCGCTGCATCAACGTCAAATGTTGTTAGCACTCCGTGCATTAACCTTATTGTTGAAAAACACGTCTGGTCGAAGGAACAAGCTGAAATGCTTTTGGATTTGTACGATGAGAACAGAGACAAGTTTAAAAATCCAGCTGTTAGAAAAATCGGAATTTGGGGAGACATTGCAACAGAAATAAATACTAAATTTGGCACAGAATTTTCTGCAGAGCAATGCCATCAAAAGTTGAGAAACTTTAAAAACGATTTTCAAAAAGTAATGATGTTGGAGAAAAAAGATTGTCGGCATTTTGAGAGACTACATAGGATCTTCTTACAAAGTGCAGTGAAGCCTTCGCAAAGTCCCGCGGCATTGAAGCGCAAGCTGAGTCAACTAGCAGGACCTAAAAATGGTGGAACAAACATACCTTCTGAGAAAAAACGTAGATTAAGTTTGCCAGACTTTAGATCTAGGAGTTTAGCTAGAAATAATCGAACACATGTTCAGAGAACTGCAAATAAAAAAACGGGCATGCCTACAAACACAAATGAACTCCAGTCGCGTCCTCAGCCAAACGACTACGATTACATCATTGGGAAGCAAGGCACAGGTACGTTTTCTTACCGCAATTCCAACTTCAGTGTCAGAACAGAAGCCTCGCGGAACTTTATTCCCACTGGACAACAAGGAATATATGTCACTCCATCAGCTATAGACAAAACTGCAAAATTGGTTGATGATGTGGAAACCTCTTTGTCATACTCAGTGCCAACTATGATAGTTTCTTCAGCCAATGGAGTATATAGTGCGGTGCATACAACTGCAGAAGTTTATCGTGCCAAAGAAGCTAACAAAGATTCTGATAAAATAATGAATGTATCGCATATAATACCAGAAATTGAAACAAATGGGCTTCCAGTTCCAATGTACTACTTTAGTAGCAAGGGACTTCGGTGTTCAATTGATGACCCTCGTGGCAGCGAAAAGGTCACAAATGCGTTACCATCAGGCAGCAGCACTGTCGAACTGCAACAACCCCAATTATTAACGAGCGAAGGTAACTTTGCAACTCCAACTAGTAGTAACGAGAAATCAGCACTTGGGTTTATCAGGGGTTTATTCGATAACAAGAAGAATAGGGAGGCTTCAAAGCAAGCTACAAACAGCCAAGAGGCTGTGGTAAAAGTGGCTGGCCCAGCCGATAACGAAAGAGCGAGCGAGGAAGACAAGGTTGGCAATGGGTGCGGCAGGACGATCATCGACCTGACTGATGGACAGAGTAATGACAGTATAACACAGCTTTTCGATGCAGTAAACAAATGGCGTGTCGAGGCACAGGAAATGGAGAAGGCCAGGATACAGAGGGAAATCGATGCTGAAAGACGGACAGATGAAAGACACAGGGAGAGTCTGCTCATGACGGCGCGATTCATTGAGTTGTTTGAGAAATTGGTGTCAAAAGTAAGCTCTTCTGTTGATTAATCATTGACTTCTCGGGTGACGATTTTTTACTTTCAGCTAATACGGAGACATCCTGCTGTACGTGATCCAAAATGAGATTATTGTATATTGGTAGTCTAACATTGTTTGAAAGTTCGTAGCATAAACGTTTAAAACTTATTTTGTTCGATTTTCTATCAGTTTTTCATTCTTCAAGTATCAATTTCTCTATGATGGCGATGTACGGCCTCTGTTGCATCTTGCGTGATTTATGCTGTTACAGGGCATTTAATTTTTTTTAAACTGGGCGTTTTTAAAAACAGTTAAATTGCAGCTAATCGATGTCTTCTAAATGAAAAATTGAAAGAAAAGTTACGAAGTTTCGTACTATTAATTAGAAATTATTCTAAAAGAATTGTTACAGATAAAAATCTTATAAAATTGTGATACAATATTAACATAAAATCACGAAGATTTATGAAATTTGTACTTTATGAAAAGGGTGATATCAAGGGACTGTTTAATGTCATTTGAGTGTCCATACCATCAAACTGTCCGGGCTCAGGCATTTTTGAAATAGTTTTGTTTCTTAGATGACAAAGGGGTCTTTTGTCAACAAAAATTTCCGTTATAAAGTTGTTAATGATTTTCGATTTAATTTTGCATTCTCTGTAATCATTAAGAACTGGAGACGTTTGAGGAGAGAACCATCTCTAGTCAAAAGTGCATCATAATATCTATTCCTGCGGTATTAATCATGGAAATGTATGCAATCGTTTGAAAAAAGAAAAACTCTTATAATTTCAGAACGGTTACGAAATAACTGTATAAAGCTAACTGGTTAAAAGTAAATCAGTAGGACTTGAAGACTAATAAAATACAGGGATTATGGATCTTAACAAATGCAAAGAGCTTTTGGATTGACAGAATCTCTACCTACTATGATTCGAAGCTTGCGCTGCCTTGTATTTCTCGCTTTCTCGTTCAATACATCCATTGAACCAGGTTCTTTCCTGCACCAGGAAACGGCTAGAGCTTTGCCTGTTGTCCCAGGGCTCTTTGAAAAACTTGTAACTAACCAATTGTACAACACGCGTGAAGGTGGTAGTAAATATTTTTATCGTCACTAAATTGAAACGGTTTTAGCGAAATCAAATATAGATTCCAAAGTTGTATAAAAGTCACGCATGTGTAGGCCGCTTCACTTTTGACTGACAATCCCTTTGAATGGAATTATTCTTCAAATTGAAACTACTTTTAACATGCATGCACTAATGCCCTAATAAAATATGTCTTCTTTTTGCAATAAAATTCAGGTTACTAAATTTTCATTAGCAGTGAAACATTTATCCCTTATCACAGTAAGAGCCTTCATCTTTCATTACCCGCAATTCTCCTTCACCTTTTGTCTTAAAAAACTCATATCTAGAATGTCTCCTTTGAAGTTGCTGTGTTTACTGCCGACTCTGCAGATGTAAACTGCGACAAGCGAAACGCGTATGCGTCTCAGCCTATGCAGAAACGCTTGTCAATAAAGTAACGCATATGACACCGGTTCAAAAATTTCCAAAAACCACTTTGCTAGATTCGGGGTGGAATATTCTCGTGGGCCTAGTCCTATCGTAAACGTGACGAAAATTCCATAATCGCTGGACGTGCAAAAGCATCTTTTCATTGAAGTTTAGGAGTCTGTTTACATCATAACAAAAAACCTGGAAAGGCGGTAAGGGAAGCAAAAGCATACGATACAAGTTGTATAATGTAGTAAGGGAGGCAATACCAAATAATGCAAGGTAATACAGTTATTTAGGTAGGTAAGAGCGTCTGATCAGGGTCCGAAAAACGGCAAGGGAAGCAAAAACGTACTATACGAGTTTAAATGTATTTGAAGGTATATTTATCATTTAATGTGTAAGTCTTCTTCACAGCGCCTTGAATCCACCTAGCCTTGGCTGAGGTAGCTACCATATTGAATGAGGTAGAGCCTCATATTTTGATCTTATTTCTTAATGTTTTTATGATATTTCAGAGATTAACAGAGAACCGGCTGTAGATCTCACTCCTATAGCAAATAAAATATGTATTTCTAAATATTTGTTTGCCACAAAGCAAATAACAAGCCAGCATTGTGGCGAATAACAATCACTCACGCCACAAGAGCAAGGAATACCCTAGCCCAAATGAGTTCTTGATAAATAAACATGCCAAATTTCAGGCATACATACATACATACAAACATACATACCGACATACATACATACATACGTACTGAAATAAGTGTCAATATATGTTGGGAAATAAATTAGGTAAAAGCCAATCTGTCAGTTAAAATAAACATAATCTAAAAGAAAATATAGTCACTCTTTCTACTTGACGCTGACAAGCAGCAATGTTCCTTTTCGTATGTTATTTCATTCATTTCATTTCATTTCAAATGTTTAAGGAGGGTAGCCATTTAGCAATGCTGATTTTCAAGGGGCCCTCCACTTAAAATACTTACATAAATTCTTATAAAAAACAAATTATCCTAATTACAATTCAATATTTACAATTTAAAATAAATCCTATTTTAACTTGAGTTTAATTTTACTACAAATAATAACAAAAGGCGAAATGGTAATTTCCAATATACAATTTACAATTACGCCTAGTTACAATTTCGCAAGATTTTGTTGGAGGTTGGTCAAGGAAGATGCCTGTTCACACTCAGCTGAAAGGCCATTCCAAGACCTAGCACCCCTAAACGAGAAGCATTTCTGTCCATTTTTTGAGTTTGTTTTGTAGCCTTAGGTCAGTTGATGTATTTCTAAGATTCCTAGAATTTAACTTGGATTTATCTGTGAAAAGATCACACATGTATTGTGGAGCCAGTCCATGAATCGATTTGAAGACCATGATATTTGACTCATTAGCGATTAGCTCGTCTATGGTCCTCCAGCCCAGCTCCTCTATGAGTGGTTGGCTCGGTGCCTCAAAACTGATGCCAGATACAATACGAGTGGCCCGGTTTTGTAGTTTTAGAAAGCGTTTTATTTCGGTAAAACCACAACAGCCCCATATCAAACAACAATAGCGAAAGTGTGGCTCCACAATACTTGTGTACATAGTCTTCAGAGTTTCTTTTGGCAGAAAGGAATTTGCATGCTTCAAAAAGCCAATTCCTCTGGAGACCTTGGAAGAAATTGTTTTAATGTGTTCCTTCCAATCTAATGTGTTATCGATCTGTTTTCCAAGATATTTGGTTTTTTTGGACAATATCCATCTCATTGTTCTGAATTTTTAGCTTTAAAGATTCGTCTTCATTCTTTAGTGATTTATGCTTAGGTTTGGTGGAAATAAGCAGGGCATGTGTTTTCATTACATTCAGTAAAAATTTGTTGCCCCTGAGCCATTTTTCAACGTGTGCAAAGTCATTATTGATGGCCTCATTCAGCTGAGTGATATCATGCGATTGATGGCAAAGACTCGTGTCATCTGCATACATGGACATATTTGTTTTTTGGACAGCTTGTCGGAGGTCGTTTATTTAAATGAGGAAAATAAGGGTCCAAGATATGAGCCTTGGGATACACCAACATTTATTTCCATAATTGATGAATCAACACCGTTTACCCTAGAATATTGCTTTCGGTTGTAAAGGTATGATTTAAACCATTCTAACGGCTGTTGCTGAATACCAAAAAACTTTAGTATGCCATGGTCCACCATGTCAAATGCCTTTTTAGGGCAATAAAAACTAATCCCACTAGCTTTCCCAAATCTAGTCCTTTATACCAGTCATCAGTGTTTTTAAGCAAACATGTTACGGTAGAGTGAAGTTTACGAAAGCCAGACTATTTTTGGGATAAATATCCATTATCACTCATGTGCTGGTACAATTGCTTAGTCACAAGTCTTTCGAAGAGCCTTGAGATGACAGGTAAAACTGATATAGGGCGATATTTAGACTTATCAGTTTTGTCCCCTTCTTTAAAAATTGGGGTAACTCTGGCCAATTTCCATGAATCTGGAAAAGTGTTGGTTTCAAGTGATGTCTTGAGCAAACAGGCCAAAGCATTCTCAATGTAAGGTAAGGCCAGTTTTAGAAAAAAGCAGAATGCCCGAATCTTTGATACAATCAAAATTGCTAGATTTTGATCTTTTGTTCAGGAGTTCATTAATTGTTTTCCAAGTTTCCTTCATGTTTTCTTTATATTCAGAAATTTTTGCAGCAAAATGTTGCTTTTTAAGCTGGATATTAAGGGAATTAACTTCATTAGGGAATAATATTAGCTGATTTACTTTTAAGAGCAGCTTTTTTCAATCTATCCCTGTTAATCATCAGACCGTTAAGGTGTTTGTCAATGTATAATTCAATGTTCTTGTAAGGTGTTATTTCAAACAGTATTTGGACTCAGTCTATTCATACATGCAGGGCAATCCCACTTCAAAAAACCTAAAGTTCTTTGTTTTTCAAATTCTAGATACTCTTCACCATGTACATTTCCACATTTTATGTGACACCTCAAGCTGCAACAGCTCTTGAACAAACACTTCTAGGATTCTTTACTGGACCTGAATTTACTTCCACATCACCCGATAATATTAGCAACACTGAAGAGTCTTTTAATAACTGGAATGTGTTTGACCCCTTTCTTCTGTCATGGAAGATGCGTGTTTTGCAATACTTGAACTTTGACCTTTGCTTAGGCCCATTACCTCCACGATATCGGTTTAGGTCAGTGATGAATATTGCAGCAGGAAATCGACACTCGTTATGTTGTAGTAAATTTAACTTGTCAATGTGTCCTTGATGCTGTTGTGCTTTCAGTAAGCTATCAAAATTATGCAGTAAGACAAAATATATTGCAAAGCCAACAAACGTGAAGCAGTAAAGCATGGAGGGATGTCTGTCAGCCATACTGTCTTTGTTGTGGGTGTGTTGTGAAAGACAATGACCTTAACCTTTCTTTATCTTACTACAATAGAATGCGTGCTATTGAGTTTGCCAATGAGTTTGTTCCTTTTGTGTATGTTACCTTGTTTACGTTGATTTGAGTTGAGACTAATTTTTGTTGAATAAAGCCACAAATGTGCTTATGTTAGATTTTGGTTTTCCTCAGTTTACTTCTCTCTCATTACAATTTATTCAACAAAATTTAATGGATAAAATACTGCGACCAGAACGTTTTAACGCCGATC